AAGGAGAAATCACTGACCTCAACTTCCTAGAGGTTTCCTGTAATATTCTTCTTACCATTTCCACAATTGTGTACATTTCAATATCACTCTTCTTTCCTATTTTTGAATGTCTTCTTGAGATACTTTCACAATTCTTACAGTGAGTTATCAAGATGCATTATTTCCTGATCAAAAGCGTCCCCTGTTCTTTATTTGCCCAGTTGCTTTCTGCTTACATTTTCAAGCCACACCAAGTGAGGATACCCAAGTTAAAACCTACAAAGAACTGTCAGGACCATAATACTTTTAAGAAAATCAATGGTCTTTAAAATTTGTCAAGCATTAATAATCCCAATATCAAATCCCATCCAATTACTTTAACTAAAAAAGAACTATTAACTCTTGGCCAAATGTTGAAAGTATAAAACTCATTCAAAGATCACTTAATCAGAAATTCTTTTAAGACATATTTATTAATAGCATTGCTCGTTTTCTATGACATATACCATTGATGTCCCATTCATAATTCCATTCACACAATGCTAACTTTTAACTGCTTAAGCCTTCAGGCAATCCTCTGCCATTGCATATGGTGGGCTATAAAATGCCAGGGAACTCTCTACCTTGGGAGCCGTCATTATTTTTGTATACTCCAGCACATTTTCTCTTAGAAAGGACAACTTTCATTCTTGTAATGTAAGTAAGTGGAGTTCCCAGAATTGTCCAGGGGAGGAAACTCCACTTACTCAGGAAGATAACCTATTTGATAATGCATCATTTCTTCATTCTTTCCTTTGTTTTAATAACCACATTTCTCTCTCTTTCCTGGAGTCACTTTCCAAGAAAGCATTTGAAGTTGAATACTTGATTCAGTGCCTATTTCCAGGAAAACCCAATCAAAGTTGACACAAGCAGTGGTATTGGTAAACAGATCTTCAGGTGGGATTCTAGAATTAAACCTTGCACAAGCTATATGCCAACAAAAACTTCCTTAGTAACTGGATGTACCAGTCATAACTGGAGCCAGGATAACACCTCAGATACATTACAATCACTAAGATTTCCATCTATGGTGTTCTGAACTGAATGTAGATTGAAGGGGATGCACATAGCTTCTGAGAGATATGGGGACCATAGTATTCATAAAGCTAAGAGCTGGTTGTTAAATTTCCCTAAAGAAAATGACAGCCTGAGTTCAGTGAACTATGAATGAAGAGCAAAGTAAGAAACCCACAATACTTCAGTATCAGCTAATAAAGAGATTCTCATTTCAGCTGTGGGAAGGTAAACATGAGCTAGAAATTAGGCTCAGCATTGGCTTTTTAGAATTGGAATTATAAAAGAGGCTATATTCATAGGCTTGGCAGATTTCTATGCAAAAGTCAGGGTTATGGGGCTGGGGATATATCTCAGTTGGTAGAGTGCTTGCCTTGCATGCACAAAGCTCTGGGTTCAATCCCCAGTAACACACACACACACACACACACACACAAAGCACTGATGATATAAGCAGTTTGGGGGACACTGAAAAAATATTTAGGGTACAATTAAGCAAAGAATGGAACCCTAAGACTAATTCAATAGATATACCGGAAAACACTGAATTTCTGGATTCCCCTATCCTCTCTAAGATAGGCAGACCTAATTAGTCCCCTTACTTATAGGAAAAAGCATAAAGTGTGAATCTCATTGTGTTACATCAATATTTTCTAGAGGGCACTCATCATAGAGGAGGTACTGAATAATTGTGTAGATAAGATGATTTGTACACTAGAGGTCAACCAGCTCTGTATGTGGTAACTGGGGTACTTGAAAAATTGGCCCCAGAATGGAGAAAAAATATTAATAGTAAGAGAGGATAGGCATGGACTCATTTTCACCTATTTTGTTATAGCTACTGCCACTGGTAAAGTGACCAACCCAATGGGAATAGTCAAATTCCATGTTCTGAATATGACTCTTCTCAAATAATACAATCAGCAAATTCAGGGAAAGATTATTACATCACTTGTTACTTCCCCAGAGTAGGGGAAAAAATAATTTTTCTTGTTGGCACATATTCCTACAATGGGATTCTTGCATTTTCATAGTGGCTCCTCTAATATCACTATTCCTTGGATTCATATACTACTTGATTTATAATCATGGTGTCTTTTATAACATCTTCTAAAATGAATCAAACCATTTTATGGTAAAGGAAGTTCAATAATAGATGACAAAACAATCCAAAGCCTAACACATGTATGTCACTAGAAATTGCTAGCCTGGTAAAACAGGTTCCAGCTTGGAGATGACAATTCAATTTGTGATGCTGTCTTTCTAGAAGTGACGTAATTTTTAATTGTGGTTCTATGAACCATGATGTTATATGCTATACCAGCTTGGAACATCCCATGAAAATGATGGCTAAATTTTCAGAAATTTTTAAGGCCAGTTGACCTCACAGTGGTAGGCCATTGAAATTGGCCATTGTGTATTTACACATCATGAAAACTGGCAAAGGGTATAAACTATATTTCCCCTTTTCCATGGTTTTGCCTCCCAAAAATCAAATGCATATGTATGAAAACCATGGCAGGGAATAGGACTATCCCCTGTCACTATAACTCAAAGAGATCCTTTGAGAAATTAATTCTTTCTGTCCCTCCAACTTTGCTGAAATATGTGTTCTCTTTTTCAATTGTATGTATGGGCGTGGGACATGGGCTTTTGCCAGGGTCAGTAATGATTTCACCATATAAAAATCTACAGTTACCATATGGATGTTGTAGGCTTCTCATGGCATTGTACCAACATGAAACAAACACCCCAAACAACCAAACAAAAAATGGTGATTATCATGGGAGTTGTTACTATATACTATGTGCAGGAAGGACCATGAATGAAACTCAGTGAATGAGTTCAATTTCTATTTGAATGGTAATAACTAAAAATGGAAAATTGCAGAAACTACTGTTTGGGCACAGAAATCATGAATTCATAGGTCTCTGGGGTGGGGTGGGGGGACAAAACATGTGAGCCATGCCACCAAGGGAGCTACAAGTAAAAAGAGTTGAATAAGGGTACAGGAAAATGATTGGAGAAACGATGAAGTAAATTATGACCTTGGTTCAGAGTATGCCACCCTGGTATACTGTGCTTGTCTGTTTTTTTTAAATTGTAACCAGTCTCCACCTTTAAGAATCACTGACTGGACAAAGTGGACACTGGCCATCTCCTAGCTTCTAGCATAGGCAGTCTTTGGTTTCAGCATGGCCTCTTGTGGCCAGAATCTGTCCTCCCCGTCATATGGAAGGCTGCTGCCTAACACCACAGGTCCTTGGGATTTTGATAGGATGACACTAGAGTGAACAAACTCTTGGTTTTCCTGAATTTCTAAGGGGAATTTAGTTTCCTAAAATTAAATTTACATTCTTTAATTGGTTTTCTCCCTTCACTGGCCTAACTCCCAACTCTCTTAATTAGTAGTTCTTTCTGTGACTTTCTCCCAAATAAACTAGTAATACTTAAGTCCATGACTGAGGCTCAGATCTGGAAACAGTAGTCATATTTCATATCTATTAACGTTACATAAATTTCAGTAAATATGCCAAGCTGCCCTATATAAGATATTTAAGCCTTTGTCTTTTGTTATGACAAAGATAATCTTTTCTTAACATTCAAGGCAATGCCTTCACGATTAATATGTTTATATGCAAATAAAGCTAAATAAGTATCTTTTCTGATCACCTTATTTGAGAGGTCAATTATTACATTTTACTTGTTTGCAGTTTGTTGAAATAAGTAATCTGTAAAATCAGACTGAGATGAATCAGAGGTCTTATGCAGCATCAAGCTTTACTAAGTAACATCAAGGCCACGTGAAAACCAAAGGATGTCATGAAGCGGGCATGAGAGTTCTGGATATGGATGATGACTATATCCCCAGCCTTTTACTTCCTGTGTCAGATGTATATCTCTCTGCCTACATGAATTCTCGAAGAGAATTTCCCAGGGTTCCTTGTGAAATTATTTAAATAGCAACATATCTCCAATTTATTCCCCAGAAAATTATGGCACCTGTGGACATTTCAGGGAATTGTGCACCATAAATATTGGGTTCTACTAACTCTTGCTGCCCTTGGCCAGGAGTATCCCATTAAAAGCATTTTAGGGATTAAATTTTCTTCCTCTTAGTGTAGCCTTCATTTAGTTACGTGGAGCTTCAGTTGACAAGGGATTATACCAGGTCTCCTGCCTCCCACCACCTCCAGTGGCACCCTTCCAGGAAGGAGAGAAAATAAATTGCTTCTTTATCCTGTTCCTCCCAAATGATTTCAGAGGCAAATCCATTCTCATATGTTAAAAAAAAAAATAGCCTCACCAGAGATTCCTCCTCCTATATGCATCTCTAAGACTACAAACATGAAGTATCCAAAAGAAAATGGCTAAGAATTATTTTGCTTAAATTCAATGAATTAAAATAAGGTGTAATAACATCCTGTTTTTTTAATTTCATCTGCTTCAGAGTTCAATAATTTCTAGTGATGAAGGTCTAAAATGGTTCTGGGCACATTTATTTGTCTATTTGTTCTTGAGTTATAAAGAAAAAAACGTATTTTAAAACTATAATGCATTATGGTTATTTGTCCAGGATGAAAATGAGCATTATAATGAATGGAAAATCACCCCCTAATCATACTGCCAAGACATTACTTCCCAGGAGTCCCAAAGGCATTGAGGAGTGAGGGGATACTCATAACCTATCCAAGCACTGCTGAGTGAAGAATATGAGGAATGCTTTTCATTCATATTCATTATTTCAGTTATCATATCAGAGATAAACCCTTAGAAACTCAGAAAGAATCCTGGTATGGAAGTATAAAAGAATCAGTAAAAATGGTAGGATAGTGCAGTAAGATAATCTTTGAACAGTATCACATACCTCAGCCTGTCTAAGATAAAAATATGACATATCCAAAGTCAAAGGGAAATAGAAAATGCAGATATAATTCAGGAAAGTGTGGTCATCTTATACTTACTGAAGCTACATTCACAAAATCATCATCTGAGAGAGTTTCCAACATTTCGGAGACAGACGTTCGGATTAGTTTAAGAGTCAATCCACTGACACTTCCACTCCTGGAGACAGACAAGTGAGTCTGCATGAGTTACTCATCAGTTATTTCACAACAGCATCATAAGGAAAGACAACTTATGCATTAAACCTGGATCATTTATATAATATTCAAATAAGAAATGTCTCTAAAAAATCTGTAGAAGAGATTTTTTGATAGAATGAAAATGAGAAACCTTATGTTTCATCTTCTACCAATATCAATATATATGTCTAAATGAAACTGCCAAAATTATCTGCAAGAGACAATTTATAAAATACATGGATACTCAAGGCCTATTTGCTCATTCAAGGCATATGTATCAAATACTAGCCCTGAGAGCCAATTTAGCAGAGAGGGCTACAGAGGTTATAGACACAGTCACTGTCCTGGAAGCCCACTGTTTGACTTTATTGAGCCAATAATTATAAAGCCACAAAACCACTGTATAGATTTGTGGAGAGAATGCCTTGTTTGGCACTCTAAAGTAGATATCCTCTACAACTTAATCTTCATTTTTCTTGTCTCTGTCTCTATATTTTCCATGATCCTCTGTGACCTCCCTTATTTTCAGGGATCAACTTTAAGCGACTAACTCTTACTTCAACGTCACAGACACTCATCAGTATCTTAGCTTGAAATAATGTAACAAATAAATAAAATGAACAGCATATAAACTCCTGGAAATTTTCTTATATATCATCATGTCCCTTGAAAAAGTCACAGTACTAACATTTAATAAAATAGTTAACATTCATCTATTCATCTATTTTATGACCAGATTTCTAAAACTTAACTCACTTTTCTTCTTCTTTTTTTTTTTTTTTTTTTTGGTGGTACTGGAATGGAACTCAGGACTCAGGGCTTCATGCCTTTCATGCAAGCACTCTCTCACCTTCCCAGGCCCCCTAAAATTTAATTTAGTCATTAATGACTCAAGTGTTAAATTAATCTTTTTTTGGTAGGAAGAACTGCTTAGTTTCAGCAATTCTGTACTTAAATATTGCTCAAAATATAAATCAATAATTAGAAACAAATAAGTATTTTTTTTAAATGCAGACTTTAGAGCCATGCCATAATTTCCCACTTTCTGCAAATAAACATGAAAGTCTTCTCATTTCAATAAATTAATCTTTGCTGATTTTTTTATTGTGGCTTCTTTCTTTTTTTTTTCTTCAAACTGTCATATGGTTCCAACATATTCCTCTTACCTACAAATTCTCTCAAATGCTCAGCATGAAAATATGTAATAATTAAATACTCACACATCAACCAGAATAAGCATGTCCTTAGGAGATGCAGCTCCTTGGATATACCTGAAACAAATAGCACATAATTTTTGTTCCTCTCTGCAACATAACAAGCGTAGATATTAATTGTCGTGATTTTAACAAATCTCTGATATTGGCATTTTCCAAGAAAAGACCTAATTCCATACAATCTCAGTAGACAATGGCCTTTTTTTACATTCTGCAATGGCAGCTTGAAAAGGTTACAGTTAACCTGACATTAGAGATGCCAAAGGCATGATAATTAAAGCATATTTTCCAGATATTTATAACAAAAGAACAAGAGACAGATTTTTAATACTAACAGTGAATGAAATCACCTCCCAGAGGACATTTTCTACAGGAAAAAGCAGCCATTTTGAGCTGCAATTGTTGACCCATGTTTTAAACCACCCCAATGAACAACAGATTATCCTATTTTTAAATATAAAAAGTAAAAAAAAAAAAAGATGGGTGGTCTAGAAACTTAAAAAAAATATATATTTTTTAAACAAGTCAATAAGGTAACTAAGAAATCACACAGTAGGTAATGTTAGCACCAAGAATTTCAAGTAGGCTCACAAAAACTTTACAGTATTCAAAAATCATTCCAAGAATTGGCTTAAAATGTTGATTCCCAATTTAAACACAGCCTTAGAGAATCAGAATCTTCATTTTAAAGAGACTCTAGGAGAGTTTTGCACAGATGGTTCATTGATTGTAGAGAGATTTCAAAAACCTTGAAAGCTCCTGCTGCCAGGCTACAATAGGAACTTGACTTTTTAGTCATTTCTGTGGTCTCTCTGCCCATGACTGGAAATCTAGCTTCTCATAAGCCTGCAGGTTACTTTCCCATTACTTTTCACAAAACTTGCAGCACAGTTGCCACCTATTCATGTCTGTGTTGATGAAGCAGTCAGTTTATAATCTGCATCCATGCTTGCTTCCCTATAAGAAGGTAAAATGGCAGTTGTAGGTGTGTGTTGCCATGGAAGCCCAATCTAGTTCATGCCTAGTGCCTTTTTATTTATTTATTTATTTATTTTTGGCTTGGTTTGGTTTTTGTTTGTATTTATTTATTTATTTTTAATTGATGCATTATCATCTGACATAAGGTGATGCATGCAGAACATCAGTCTTAATGCCTCGCATCTTAACACCACTGGTCCTGGTAGGCTTCTCCATGGGACGACAACAAGAGGATACTGACTGCTTCTTATGGTTAGAATCTAGCTTCCATGTTTCCCACAAAACAATGAAGATTTCTGAACCCAAATCATGTGTTATAGTAATCTTTGCTTCCACTCAACAACATATGGCTCCAAAGAGATACACCAGAGAAATATTATCAAGAATAACACACGGATTAACATTGGTCACTATGATACATGTCTGGTATTCATGCAAATTGGTACTGGGACATTTAAAAGGGAACTTAAAAGTCTTAAATACATAAATACATGTCCATTGAATCAACCATTATGCTGCTTAGAATCTGTTAGAAACATGAGCCAAATGTTTGGAATAAATTAAATATCCAATAATAGTTTATTTTTTAAATAGTTTACCATATATAATTTTAAAAATGATATCTCTTATCATGAATGTGTATTCAAAGGTAATGGTATTAAAAGGGTGAGATACAAAGCACTATGCTATATATAATATGAATGCATTAAAAAGATAGTTATATATTAACTCTTTTTTTCAAAAATTGGAATAAAATAAAAAACCCAAAATTGATAGTTGTTTCCCAATGAGTCCAACTGTAGATTATCAATATTTTTTTCATCTTATATTAGGAGAAGTAGTTACTTTTGTATCGAGGGACAAATAAAACTTCCTTTTGGAAAATAAATAAAATCTAAGTTATAGGAATATAATTAGGGGCAGCTTTTACTGTAGGGCCAGTTCTCATTAGTTCATTGCCAGAGGCAAACTATCTCCTACTCCATGCCATCTCTGTTGGAGATCTATCCCAAGCAAACTGGGAACCCTTCAACAGAAATCCCCACCAGCCAAAAGAGATTTGAAGCTGAGATTGCATATAAATCTGAAGATAGTCCATTTGAAATGAAGAGGATATTTCATTTCAGCAATATCTGCCTTATTTCTCCATAAACTCATCACTTGTACTTACCTTTGACTATATTTACTTTTAAGAAAACTTTACATAATTAGATAATATTCATCCTAATAATGAAAACATCTCCCCAACATTTTTAACAAAACCTGTTTTGTCTTTCTCACATTTAAGGTCAGCAAAAAATCCTTACCATGGTCTTCGGCGTACATCGTAAAGATCAATCTTATTTGGAGTTCTACTATTATCAACCCATGGGGAAGCTTTAAAAAAAAAAGGAAAAATTACAACAATATATTAGATAAGCTCTACAAAAATAGTGTAACCCCCCCCAAGAAAACTCCTTATGAAACTCCATAGAAAACACTACAGACATAATTTCCACTTATCTATATCAATGTTTGAATAGGAGGTATCATTTTTATGCCCTCAGTATTTTCTCTTTTATTGTAGAAAACAACACACTAGTGCAAAAGAAAGTCAATATAAGCCATTTTCTTTTCTCACATCATTTCAAAAATCACCCTGATATAAGGGTTTTGTGCTAAACTTTATGTCTTATCAAGGGTGCTAACTTATATGTCTTATCAAGGATCCAAAGGTTTTACATTTTCCCTCACCTCTTTAAACAGAAAATTTACCTTGACAGCAAATTTATGTGCCACTAATGAATATTATGGATTCAATTGTTTTATCCTTTTATTTTTATTCAATATGATCCCATTTTGGTCTACATAAGATTTTATTAGACAGTTATCATAAAATATTTTAAAAATTAAAATAACCTTTTAATTTTCATAATCATATAGGTGATAATGAGCCAAACTATTTTGAAATCCTAATTCAAAGGTTAGACCATAATTAAAATAATTTCATAATTTAAAAAAAAATTATTTCAAAGATGTACAATAATTCTAGTTTGGAATCAGTATATTTTTTAGTTCCACAGTATCTATCATTTGGCAGTAATCAGAACTTAAGCATAATTTTATTGATTTTTAAATGCAATTAGTTTATACTTATTCTAATTTATCTACACTTACTTTAATTAAAATGTTTTATAAGGTATAACTTGCACACACACCTTAGACCTACTAGAGAAAAGTAAATGCTAATGTATTGGATGATACTATCATGATGAAACAAGTCTCTCTCTTTGAAGATATTTACACATGGGACCCTTGGGAAAATTCAAGTCATATGATTTATGTGCCACAATCTATTTTACCCTTTTCTTTATTGTGTAACTATGTAAATTAAGGAGAACTTTACTGAGAGTCAGGTTTATTAGCCAATGAATATAATTTGGCCAATTAGGACATGTCTAAAATATATACAACTAAATCCCTCCTTGACTGTGAATTTTTTTTCCTATTAGTGGCTATAATATAAAATGATTTATTCATTTTAAATGACTAATCACATTTACATGAAACAGTAAGCTTAAATATAGCACTCCCCCAAGAACCAATTACTGACATAGTCAATGTAACTGATATGGTAAATTTATTCTTTCAATTTGCATTTGCAGATTCTAAGTGCCAGTGATACAAAATATCTTTTACTTTTGCAGCTCTATAATTGAGCAACAGGCATGTTGGTAGACACCTCAGTTCACTTTCAACTATTCATCTATAATATTGACTCCCAAAGTTAATATCTTAGTAATAACTAAAAATTTAAAGAAATTGTAACCTAATTTCAGTAGCATATTATGCCTAGTATATATTCATTGCCTCTTAATTCTAAATGTTACCCTTTGGGCTTGTTCTACGAAAAATGGATCTGGGTTCTTTGTACACTTATCTTTTACCAGCTGGCATATCTTCAAGCTTTGTACATAGATGATGCAAACTCTGAATGAGGCAAGGGTCTTTTCTTGATGTTTTTGGTTCATAAGCTCACAGGCAGGTGTAGCATGCACTGCTTTTCTGCTGTCTCTAGCTGTGCAAACCTGTTTTCTAGAGCTCATCTCCTGGTATGCTGCAGTTCCCCCATATTCCTACACCTTGGGGAGCTTCACCAGGCACCTGAAGGCCATCAGTAGTCCCTAACCATTTTTTTTTTGCAGTGAAAAGCTTCCAATAAGACACCTTGGACAGAAAGTGAATTTTCAGCAAGTCCTACCAGTGTGGACCATGATCATGTCCTTTTGAAGAAGGTCTGAAGCTCAGGCCATCAGTAAGGAAATTGGGGCTCTTTCTTGGGCACTCTAGCTCAGGCTTAGGGATAGTAATTGTATGTTAAGTTATAAGGTATTCTATCTGGCAATCATTTAGCCTTTAGAATTCTCTGTAATCCCATCCATTTCCATCATTACTCTAATCCCTGTGATATTTAATTCTTTATTAAAATATAAACTTTCCCTGGCTCAAATTACTATTTTTCACTCCCCTCCACAACCCTGATTGGATCAAGACTTAGTACTTATGTACAGAAGAGATGAGAGAAGTGAGAGTAGTCCACTGTCAATAGCAGTGATCGTAAATTTTTGAGAGCAGTTAGCAATAAATTTGATCAATGATTTAATGAAATGGGAATTTGAAAGTTCTTTTAAAATTACATTTCTGAATTCTTTATAGAGCCCATTCATCTAGGATTTGTTTCACTACTATAATTGCTAAATTAAATGAACTGATAGGGAAGTACTACACTTCATAAAACTTATCTTTCTTTAAAGACAAAAAAAAACATCAAAATGTTATAATCTTAGGTGGCTACATTTAAAAATATTAATAATATTACATAAGCTTTCTGAGATCTTGTGTTAAGTCATATCCTGAGATTAGACTAAATTAAGATATTTATAAATCATGGTAAAATTAAATAATATAATTTCTTCTGTGATTGACATGTAAAATCTCCTTGTGGAATTTAAGGAGCACATTTTTTATATAAGCTTAACTTTATAGAATATCAAATAGTAAAAGAAATAATAACCATATACCATAATTCCCTGAAATAATCGGTTTCATAATCAGACATAGTGACAGTACATGTCATGAAATCAGTTTTTCAAATCCCTGCAAAATGTGTATTGCCCATTTTAGATGTCCTGTTAGTGTTCCAGAAAGTTTTTTTGGAATGCAGGACAGAGGAACAGAAATAGCCTACAATGTGGTATCTCATTACTGACCACCATCATTAAAGGCAATGATGTTCACTTATGAGAACACACTTTTCCTCTGAACAAAAATAAATTGTGGATGTGTCTCTTACCAGTTCTACTGGTATACTATTTCACATGCTATCAAGCATGCACTGTAGCAGCTGTTGATCTGACTTAAGCAGATGTTTACCTATACATTGACTCAGAATACTGAAACATGACAGAGGTATATTCTTGAGAAGGTATGAAAATCTTAGAGTCATTTTATACTTAATATAATCTAAAGAAAATAGGAAACTGTCCAGTTTTCATTGTAGTGGCCGGGAAAAAATTAAACAAATGATGGTGCATTGAGGATTGATGCTCTTGGTAGAAATACCACTTCACAAAACAGATAATTGCATTTCCAATTATTAAGTTCAAATGTAGTTTCTAACTTGAACAATCTTCACATCTTCAATCTCATGAAAATAAAAAGTAGCATGTTTAATATACTTGAAAATGCCTTTTAAAATCACTCCTGATCCTTTTGCCCAGAACTAATTGGTAGACCATTATTTTAGTCTTGTCTCAGTCATCTCCTATATTAGTCATGCTCTGGATTGCTAGCCAAGATAATCAACTAGGACTCTTTTTAAAGCAAAAATTAATTCACCAAATGTGTATTGTATAGCTTACAAATTTCCAGAAATCTGAGTATTACTATCTAATAACTCCCATTTGAGAATAGATTCTATACAGTCCCTAATTTGTACCATGGCTTCCACATCCAGGTTCAGTATGGATAAGCAGTATGGATGAGTCTCGTAAGTATGAAATAGTACCCCATACCAACACACCACAGAAACTAGAAAAGCAAATAGCTGACCTATTCATATTTTGAGTTATCATGGAAATACTGAAAACAGAAAGATGATTGTATATTATTAGTATTGGTGATGTAACATGCCTTAAAGTATAAATCTCAAATATTGTTAGCATAGTAATTAGCACAGTAAGTATTCTCAGCATAGTACTGTTCTTAGCATAGTGTCTTAGCATAGGAATTTTCATTCATATAACAGACCAAGATATTACTAGTCATGGGAGACACAGATTCTGCTCCAGGTAGTTTTACACAGAGGTCTAAAGCTAGAAGAGCTTTTGCCTTTGACCACTATCTTCCGAGGTCACCCAAGCTGCTAAAGGATGGTAACTGTGGAGAAGATACAGGCAAGTCATGATAATCTCACTTCCTCCATATTCTGTTGGAAAGAATTAGCCGCATGGTCCTATACAGACACAAGGCAGGTCTAAGAAATGAAGTCCCTGGCTAGTCAGTCACTTCCAAAAGGAGATTTCACAATGATGGAGGAGGACAAAACTCTATGGGAAGCTTTTGCCACAAGTAAAGATAGACACTTTTAAAATCAGTACTGTCTACTACTAATGATAATATCAAATTTTCTGTACTTAGCCAATGTTTTTCAAATAAACCAGCCCTAAGATGAAGGAGAAGGGAATGGACTGAATTCGGAACCTAGTAAATAAATAAAAGATGTCAGATTGAAAAGTCATTTCTGACTAAATTTAGCAGTAGGATTGCTTACATAAGAAATTCACTGAAAGAAAATAACTAGAAACCAAAGCAGCATTGTTGTTGATGTTTGAATTACTAAACAAACTACAAGCCTGGTCTGCAGAAGCACTGTAATTATTTGAGCCCTACAGCAACTCTTGGGCTCCAAAGTTGCACCAGAAAACAGTAAGGTAAGAAAGCTGTCTAGCCCCAAGCACAGCCCATTCGCATGTGTCCAACAGTATTTTAGACAAGTGAGTGATTCCCACAGAGCACTCAGAAACAATCAGAGGAGCTGAGAAACTTGCTTTATGCAAGTTAGGAGGGCTTTGGGTTTCTTTCTTGATTGAATGGGTAGGGAAAATAATGGATCAGGGATGGCTCTGTTTTTCTTGCTCTTTTTCCAAGTGGGAGTTTTACTATTATAAGTAGCAAAAGCAACAATTGTGTATCATACCCGTGGGCAAGCAACTGGACTTAATAGGGTTGACAAAATAGTATTCTGCTGAATTATAATGTAGTCAAATTAAAAAAAAAGTCATACTAAATGATGGAGAAAATTGCATGTGACCCAAAGATCCTGGACTCTAACTAGT